CCAAAAAGCGATTCAATTAAAAAAATAATAAGCAATACATCATTTATTTTATTTAGACAGAATTGATGCTCAAACAAGAGAGAACATAAGTCGAGCAATATTCAGCTACTTCTTCCTCATGTTTTGTGCGTTGCTATTAGCGACAAGAATAAAAGGATTGCGAACCCATTGGCTTGGCCAATAACTTTTTATAAGATTTCGATTACATTTCAAATGATATTTAAGCCAAAAATGTCAGCGGTTAGCTGATTCATATGAAAAGGAGGAGCACTGTGCAGAAGAGGATTCTGGTAGCATGGTTATAATTAATATGATTTAAGGCAGAGGAAAGTTTCTAAAATTTCGTTTAGATATACAAGTAATGAATTACGATTGTATAGACGGATCGCATAGAACGAATTGAATTAACTATGTAAACAATCTGGAAGATGCAGTGATTGCCGTTGGTTAATATTTCAATATCCAAACCTGTTTTCTGTACAGTAAACCAATCCTGGGACCGAGGTCTACAAAATAATATTGAATTTGTATTTGCTCGTACTTAAACAGATTGAAGATATTTACGTATACCGTACCTCAATACGGTTTATTTCCTTTTCACAACAGCTTTTGCTCAGTTCTCCTTGTTATTTTTTTTTTTCTTTAAATTCTTTATTTTATCAACAAAATGCTTAGCTACGCAGCTAACCATTCCTGGATATTTGATGCATATTTGATTCCCTGTTCCTAATTTGATCAAAAGTAACAATATCAATCATTGGACCTCGCTGTTGCTGATGTGGCTCGTCTGTACGCTAATAATGCAGCCGTTCCTGTTACAGTTCGCGTTGATGCCAAGTGCAAATGTGCGTGTAATTCATCATTCGATTCATTTTTCTTCTCTGCAAATATGTAGCTGGAATTGTTGTACGAGTATTGCACACGTTTAGGCATCCCTGCCGGCAAACTTTTCATGTCGCTCTGACCTTTTAAAACTGTCGTTTTAATGAACATTTCGCTCTCACAGTTGCTGTCGCGCAACAGTAGTACTTGTAGTTTTTGTTAATTAATTAAAGCATTTACAACAGCTGCCTGCCAACACACTCACCCCCGCACAAAAAAAAAACACATACACACACACATACACGCGCACACACATTCACGCAAACATACAAATACATGCGCACTTCAAAATAAATTAAAAGTGGCACTTGAGGCTGTGTTACATTTCAACTTCCTGTCCCCTTCGCCATTTCCTGATGTATGTACGTTGGTTGCTGTACTGTTGTTGTTGGTGTTGTTGTTGACGATGTGTTTTCGACCAGTTTTGTTTTTGCCAAACAGTTTAAATTAATTGCATACTTTTCGGCTGCTGCCAAATTGCCAGCCAAAGCATAAATATTTGATGTTCTCATTCGTGTGTGCGTATATGGAGACCTGTATGTGTGTGGGTGTGTGTGTGTGTGTGTGAGTGTGTGTGTGTGTGTTGCACACTCTCGTTGTTGATTAAAATCACGTGCACGCCCAATTGAACTTTTAATATGATTTATTTCAATTTAATTACACGAAATTTTATGTGAGCTCTGCCTTACTTTTTCATTTAAATTTATTTTATTTATCAGCTGAGTGCTTCATTGCCTGATATGTACAATAATAATAATAATAATCACAGATCTATGAGAGTCCTGATTAATTATTAAATTTTTAACGCATAAAGTTAAAAAAAAGAACACAACTGGAGCAGAACAATATAAAAATAAATTCGATATACAAGTAATTGGAAGACCAAGCCAGGTATCAAGTCTTTTCTTGACTTGTGTTCCGTTTTAGCAAATCCGAGACACCGTTTAAATACCTTTTCTTCTACTTAGATGGCACTTTTAATTATTAAGCAAAAAATTTAAGCTATACATGCAAACAAATTTCATATTCTATTATTGATTCACGTAAGCTAATGTCCCAGAGTTTTAGGTCGCTCTTATTAAAGAATCTAGATATAAGTTCTAAAAAGAAGGAATGACTCCACGGATGACTGCTATCAGTAGATATTTGACATCTTGTTAACAGTCCTACACTCAGTCTTTATCTTACTCCCCTGCAGGGCTGTTTAAAGTGCATCTTGTCTAACATACTCGTACTACAAGTATGTATGTACGTAGTACAACCATTTTTGGGCTGGCAAACTGATTTTTGTTTTGCCTTTTAGGCCGTTTCTCTTTTTCTTTCTTTTTCATTTCACTGCAAAAGCAACGCAACGCCTTTTGTCATATTTTTAAAATAGGAAGAAAAAAATACACACACATGTGTGTGTATGTGTGTGGCTCGTTGGGCTTACATTGAAGTTTTTAATTAACTCCCTTACAAAGATTTCGTTTTTCATTTTACTCAGTCAGCAAAAATGTCATCCTCGTTCCCCCACTCTCTCCCCACTCTCTCCCCACTCTCCCCCCTCTCTCCCTCTCCATCTTTATCCTACTACACGGCAATACCCTGAATGCCCATATACTGTTGTTGTTGTGCATTCGTGTTCTTTTTTTTGGGCACTGCCGGAATTTAATAAGCCAAAAAATGTCGTCCTTACACAAAACTGAAATGGGGAAAAAATCTGTAGCGCTGGCTAATTAAACGTTTGGCTGTCAAAATGCTGCAAACATGCGGCGTGCTCAGCCACGCTGCCACGCCCCCTTTGGCCTACGTCCGGTGACAAATGGCTATCAGTTTGTCAGCCAATAGCAGCTGCTGAGCCATCACCACTTGACAATTGCAAAATGTGGGCACAGGAAGAATGAAAATTGAAAAAAAAGGAGAGAGAAGGAAATGTGTTGCCAACTTTTGTGCACCTACAAATGAAAAGGTTTCCATTTATTTCACTTCTAGTTTTTTTTTAAATGGTTTTTGAAATGATTCAGGAGCGTAATGAATGGAACTTCATTCGTTGGCTCGCTAGTTTTTTGGCCGTGCAAAATAGAGGAAGAAGAAGCTGGAAGCAGGAGAGGCCAGCATGCAATTAACTGTGAAAATGCTGTCACAATATTTGAAAGTTTTAATTGTTTGTTTAATTGCAACTAACTGGGCACCCAGTTGGCCCATCACGAACTTTGTTTAAAGTTGTTTAAAGTGCGAATGTTGCCTCTTCCGCTCTGGCTGCGACTGCGACTGCAACTGCAACTGCTGCTCACTCACTTGTCGTCAGAGTCCACATTCTCGTTCCCGTTCTCGTTCTCATGCTCGTTTTCGTTCCCCTTTCCCCTTCTCATTCCCATTGTCCTCATCCCCATCGTCAGTGCTCAACGCTGGCCGCGGCATTTTCGTTTCCTTTCCTTTTTTGCAAAATAATTTAACATGAATATATCGCATTTCATGGAGTCATACATCACACAGCGGCAGGCGGCAGGCGGCAGGCGGCGGACTACGGACTACACAGTGCGGATTGTGGACAGCGGACTGCGGACTGCGGACCTGGGGGCAGTGGGTAGTGAATGTGGCGAAGGAGCGGAGGGCAGCGCGCCAAGTGACAGCCGACTAACATAAACCACAATAATATCCAAAGTCATGAAGGAAGTAACCAAGTGTGAATTTTCGGTTTATGCCTTGCAAAGCGTCGTTATTGTTGTTGTTGTTTCTGTTGCTGTTGCTGTTTTTGTTCTTCATCTTGTTTTTGCTATATTTGTTGTTGCCAAGCTCGCTTCCTACTTGCACCCTACACCCTGCACAGTCATGTGTGCTTTATGAACCTCTACAAGATTCTCAATTAAAGGTTATGAATATAAACATAAATCGCGCATTCAAGAAAATGTGTGGACAGGTGCTTACGAAAATTTATAAACATATATTTATACAAATATTATATTTGTAGATATTATATAGATATTTAAATCTAGCGAGCAAAAAGAATTGGAATCTTTAATGTGTGCATTTATTAATTTACTAGGTTGTAATTGATTTGAACTTTGAACTTGAAGCTCAACAAACAATTTCATTTAAACACTGATAGTCCAATCGCCCGATTTTCTTGAATATGAAACAAAATAAGTGACGGAACTCAATGAATAGCCAAATCAATGACTTCTTATGAAAGTTAACTGGTTTTTGAATTTGAATCAGAATCTTATCAATTAGGTTTAATTTAAATTGTTTTATTTTAATTTACTTTTCTCTTGCAAAACGGTGCATTAAAAAAAATGCTGATGGTCCTTTCTTTTGTTTACTTAGCATAGCTGGTTAGTTGGTTGGTTACGTTTATATGCTCTCAAAATGTATTTGCTTGGAGTATAATGGAAAAAACGTTGATGCAGTACATCAAAATACTTAAGAAACGATTTTTGATTATCAGACATATTCAGCGAAGACCTTTACCTCCTCACTTAATTTACTCACATTGTTTTGTACATTTGTAAATCTATTATATTATCAGTCAATAGTTTTAATACTCAACCAAATATTTGGACCCTTTTTCCTTCTAAGGCCTTTGAGTTCAATTATAATCAATAATACATATTAAGGGAAAAGTCTTAAAACATGTCAAGTATTTGTTGCTTATCATTACTTAAATGATCCCAGTAGAAAAATTGTATTAGGGAGCGCGTTTAAGGAATGCTTAACAAATAGCTTGTGCTATTTTTTTCCATGTTTGGATCCATCTATTCCAATAACTGACTGATTTCGGAGGCCAATCACATTTTAGGATATAAGCTGGGCTTAATGAAAGTCGATTTCTTAGCTATCCAAGAGCGGGGATTTTTTCAACATCAGCAAGTTCTGTGCAGGCTAACGTGCGATTCATTCTGACCGAATCCAGAACTCTGATCCCATTGCTGGGCTCTGGGCTGGCCTGGTCCTGCTCCAGCTGGGTGGCAGGCGAGCTGTTTGGTTGAAACCATGGTTGGCTGGCTGGCTGGCTGGCTAGATAGATGGATGGATGGCTACCCATGTTGCAGTTGTTTTATTTGCGCTTCCGTTTCGCGGACAGTTTGCTGTGCGTCTTTTTACTTATTTTTCTCTCTTTCTCGCTGTACCTCTAGGTTGCCTCCATTCAACAAAACAAAACAACAAAAAAGAAAACAAAAAACGTTGCAACAAAACATTTACGACGTCATCGTTTCACAATTTTCGTGCGAGCCCCCCACAGAGTCACTTGCCACCTACCGTGTTGTTGTACGTATATCTTAAAATATAAATTGTTGTTGCTGCATGCGAGTGTGTAGTGTACACCCCCAATGGGGCATATGAAATACAACAAATAAGAACAGAGAACTAAAAAAGGGAATGGGGGGCGGGGGGTCTGAAAAAGAAAGCAAACTTTGTGTCATTTATCATGCATTTCCACTTTTGGCTTCCGCCGACCGGGACGTGGCCCGCACAGACAAATGTACAACGACAGCTGGACAGAGCACGCGCCCCCAAACGTCACCATCCACCACGCCCCTTTACCCCTTCAGTTGGTTAGACAGACAGCGGTCGAGTTGAGTCGAGTGCAGTGGATGTTGAGGCGAGTTGAAATGATGTGAGCGCACGCTGCCGCACAGAAGACGAACACAAAAAAAAAATTAAACCAAAAACGAAAAGAAACAAAACAAACAAGAAAGCGGGCCACAACGCTTGCCTCCCCAGAACTATGAGTTCTGCATTCATTTACTCACTCACTGCCTCACTCATTCATTCATTCGAACATGCCTTCATTCATATTGTCAGGCAGACAATCAGACAGCTGGCCATTCCAGGAGACAAATGAACCGGCCCACAAATCATAGGCAGACGCCAATTTTGCGATTTCATTTTGGGTACGCGGCACCGAATGCCAAGCATTTTCCATTTCCTGCCGCCAACCATAACCAAAATGCCCGAAATGTTTAAACAAAATGAGAAAAAAAATGATGAAAACGCGGAAAAACTTTGGCTATTAAAATTAATTTCCTTTATGGCTAAGCTTTTTTTGTTCTTGTTTTATTATTGTTTTTTTTTTTTTTGCACGGCACAGCAATAGGCACGACCCAAGAAGTTGCGACGTCATCAAAGGCAATTTCGAAATGCCAGCAAACGGGAATGGGGTGTCTAGGGGGTGTGTGTATATATATATATATATGTGTGTGTGTGTGTGTGTACTATATGTTTGTGGCGGAGCTAAAGCCGAGCCAATATTAAGTTGCCAACGCAAAGTCAAAATGAAGAAATTTATAACAAGTTGTGGGAGCTCTGCAACATTTTGTGGGTCAGACTTGCAATAATAATGAGCTCTGTATAGCTCAACGATTTCAATTAGATACCGCAGTATGCATTATATATATTACCATGGTACATAAGTTTATAAAATAAGATAAATTAATCTACCTAGTAGTGATTGATTTCAATGCTCAGGGAATTATTGAAAGGTGATATTTTAGAAATGAAATGACTATTCTCTTAATAAGGTAATTTCATTTTCCATTCGTTTGAATCTGAAAAAAGCCCCTTCTTACTTCCCTTTTCTAATTAAATAAAAAAAATTCAAAATACTCCCTATGTTGCCTAACCAATAATTACAATTCTTGTCAAAGCACCCGTATACTATATTTTAACTCAGCAGGGGTTACAAGAAAGCAATTGAAATACAATCAAATAATCGTGCAGTCTATATAACATTATGTATAAATATATTTTCAGAGTATACAAATTGCCTATTTGTTGGGTTTTCAATTATTTGACTTATGTTCTTATATACTTTGCTTCTAGTGTGGCTTTTTTCTAGATCTGACCTCTCGCCTCACTAAGTATTTCCATTGGCTTTAAGTTGTAATATCCAGGAAAATCATTACTGGATTATAAATGTATGTAGATAAAATCCATAATCGTTGTTTCCCATTAATCCTAAATGTTGTTAAATTTTGCGACCATTATTTAGTCAAGTTTCTTGTGTGATGCATAATTTGGTAATTATTTATATAGGCCATATAGTTTATGGATTTGTGTCGCCAAGCACTTTGAAAAGACGATCATTTTCTTGTGCGGGCCTGAGCAACAGAAGAAGCAACATTGGCCATATGCTACACATTCCGAGGCACACTCACCCACACATTTATCAAGTGGGGCAAAACAAATGCCACACGATTCGTTGCAGAGCAGTTAGAGGCCTCATTGTCTGTTTGATTCGGAGTCGAAGCGTCTGCCTGTTGTCTGGCCAAATGGTGCGGAAGGAGGGTGCTGAGTATGGAGCTCGAGGCAGCTGTCAATGTGATAAATATATAAATAAAGTTTGTCTGGGAAGGGCAGCATTTGTTGGCAACTTGTGGCATTGGCATGATCCGTGACCCACACACCCGCCAATGTTTAACAGCAAATAAATAATAATTTATGCCGCCATCTTGGCAAAGACTTTGTATAAATCACTTTGCTGCGCAATTTTCATTTCAATGTTGTTCTTTTTTCTCTCTCTCTCTCTTTGTGTCTCCCTCAGCTTTTGCCAACAGCAGAAACAACAATAAGAATTACAAAAAAACAGCTTAAAGGGAAGAGGAAGGAAGGAATCTGAAAAGACGTTGCAATAGACTGCAGTCCGCACAACAACTAACGAGCTAAGCACTTCCCGTTGCTGTCGAGAATGGGCGTGGCACGCGTCACTCGTGGCGCCGCATCGATGCTGCTGCTGACAGGACTCCTGCTCCTGTGCCTGGGCGACACCGTCAACGCCTACTCCAGTACGTATACGTAATAAACGAGCGTACCGATTCGATTCAACAAATGAATGAACGAACGAACGAATGAATGAATGAATGCTGCGTCATTTTTGTGTGCTTGTATGTTTGTGTGTCTGTGTGTCAGTCTGTCCGACTGTTCACATGGCGTATGCTTGATGCTAACTACAATTATGATCACCACTATTTGTGCGGGAGTGTCAAGTATATAGTATATGTGTGTATGTCTTATTCTTAATATCGCGAACTCATCATCAACATCCTCATTATCATCCACATTATATTCTTCGACATTCTTCGACATGCCTCATTGTGCTGCATTCCTTCAATATTTTGTGTTTGACATCTTCTCCTTTTGTTATTTTACAAATATTATTACTTTCTATTATTTTATGCCCCACACACATCCCGATGCAACTTTGAAAAATCCAAAACGAATCACCAACTGCGACAAAACAACCAACAAACCAAACCAAACCGAATCGAACCCAATGCCTTTTACACATACACCAATACAAAAACATAAACACACACACACACACACACACACATACATACATACATATACATATATACATATGTACGCAGAGTATGGACGCGGCTGCGGCGACATTGGCTGTCTGCCCAATGAGGAATGCGTCATCACCAGCGACTCGTGCAGTTACAATCAGCGGGATGGCAAGGACTGTGGCAATTATCCGACCTGTAAGAGGAAGAGCGGCGCTGGCGGCTCAACGCAAACGTCGTCTGTTAATCCGTCAGGTATTTATTTCCCTTATTTCATTCCCCTGCCCCTCAAACACCCCTCACCCACCGCCCGACTCCAACATGATTTCGTTGTACTTGATTTAAATGTGTTTACCCATTCGCCCGATCTCTTCTGTTTCGTTCGTTCTGTTCGAATCTGCTCAGCCATTGTTTTGCCTACTGGGTTTATTCTTCAATTCGGTTTTTCTTTTATTTTTTATATTTTTATTATACTACATGTCTGTTCTTTTTTGTTGTCTGTGTTTTCTGTTTTATTTTGTGTGCTTTATTCGTGTTCGTGCCTTCAGTTTATCTGCACAAGTTACAAGTTTTTTGTTTGGCTGGCCGCGTTCCTAGGCGCAACTTTGTGGCGTATGGAGCTAAGTAAAACATTTGAGTTTTGATTTGGTCGGTGGGCGGTGCAATATGGGCGTGACCGGCTACCAGTGCCTTAGCTTTAGCTGTCTGTTTTCATATTTTGAAGTTTTATATAAATTGACTTTGACTGGCACTAGGGGCGCCGTCATGGCGCAGACATTTGTGGGACTTTCGTCTCAGACTCCAACACCAACAATAACATCAGCAGCAGAAACTTTTCAACTTGCCTGCAGCAGCAATAGCAATAGCAGTAGCAGTAGTAGTGGCAGTAGGAAATGCAGTTAGCCACTGTGGGCTCACAAGCAGATAGTTGGCTGATAACTTTTCACATATCTAGTGCAAATAATGGCTATTGGTCGATGCTACTCGATGTGTTTGAAAATTATGATATTTTCCTAAATTCGGGTAAACTAGTAAGAGTAATTTGCATGTCAAAAAAATACATTTGACTCGGCCAGCACCATCAAAAGCATTAAAGCATAAACCAAAGAATTGTGTAAATGTTAATTTAATAGCTAGAACTTGACGAGCTTCGTAGTACTCTATAATGAATAGCGAAGGAATATTTTAATGAAACCTACTTATGTTATGAAAGAGGGGGAGACTCATGCAATACAGATCTCTATATAGGAGCCATATTCTACATCAACTTCGATTGCAGATGATCATTCTTTATAGATAGATCTTTGCTAAAATATATGTAGATTTGTTTCGTGCTCGCCAACGACGGGACTTGTACTTCCTTTTATAATGTTGAGATTTAGGAAATGTTTTATTTATTTGCGGCCAGCATTTAATTTATTGTCATTTATTTCCCTTATGCCGCTTCCCAATATACATATGAACGAGTAATCCGCAACTATCCCCAAAATACAGATCTGCCAACAAATACACACAAATAAAATACAAACACACTAATTGTTAAATAGCTGAAAGGCTTTGAAAGTGCGCGCATTTAAAACACAAACAAACCCTTACTCATACACGCTTTACAACAAAAGCACACAAACCAATAAACAAACATAAACAGCTGCAAGGCATACAAACAGAATTTAATGCAATTTCAACAAACATACTACAAGCATATAATAAAAGAATACTTATTCGTATATATACGACGCACTACATAATACCATATATATTTATTTATACAAACAACCGCTCGCTTGTCGGGCCATAAGTATGTGCTTAGTTTTTGAATTTAGTTTACTATTTTTGTTTGCTAGCTCTTACTCTCTCTCTGTCTCGCTCTCGCGCGCTTTTTGTGCTCATTCATTCGCTCACTTTCACATCGCCTCATTGCTCAGTAGCTTGTAGACGCTGAAAAGTATGCTACGCTTTTTTGTGCCAAAGTAAGCAGCGCAATGCATGCGTGCGTAGCGCCAACAAGAAGAAGAAGAAGAATCAGAAGAATACGAAGATGTTGCATTGCTCACTAACCAACTAAATCACCTCCTCTCGCTCTCTCTCCATCACACACAAACACACACACACACACACACCCATACAAAAATTATTATCCATATGGCACGCTAATGAAGGATCAAGTCTGAATACGGGGCCAGAGAATAACATTTTTGCGCCTGCCTCATCGAATCCCACGCTTAACACCTACACATATTTCAATCACAACAACAACAACAACAACCAGCAGCAGCAGCAACAGCAGGAGCTTCAGCAAAATAATCCCAATGCCGGCAATACTAACCACCACAACAATCACAATAATAACAATGGCAATGGCAATGGACGCATTAGTCTAACCAGTCATTCATCCTCGAATAATGGCAATGGTGGACTATCTGGGGTCGGCGGTGGGAGCAATGGTGGCTCGAGCGCGAGCAGCTCGGCCGCCGCAGCGGGAGCGGGAGCAGCAGCCGCTGGTGTCTCATCCACTGGCATCGATCCGCATTATGTGTTTGGTGCAAAGCATCATATGCCCGTTATACCCAATATGCCCATTTTTCCGTACAACTCCCCCACACAAGCGCCCTCGTTTCAACAATTTCCACAACCCAATCATCCAGGTAGCGTCCTCAATCCGGGCTATCCCATGCATGGCCTGCAGCCGGTGAATCCGTACAATCCACCGTTCGTATTCGGCCAACTGCCATTCTATGGGGCCCCCGGCGGTACGGGCGGCCCGCCCGGCGGTAGTGCCGGAATTTTGGGTGGCAGCGGCGGCGGTCTGGCGCCCTATGGCAGCAACTATCAGGGCTACCAGAATCCGAATATGTACAATAAGCCGCCGCCTCAGTATCAGAACCAGAACCAGCAGAATCCGTACAATCGCCAGACGCAGGCGCATCCATCGGGGGCGGCACGCTTACAGGGGCGTGGCAGTGCGATATTCACAATGGTCTCAGCGCTGCTCACCACTCTGCTGGCATCGACGTTGCGCAGCACGTAATAAGTATACAAATATTGATAATAATAACAACGATCAGGATGACTATAATAACGATGATGATGACAATTATGGTTTTGATTTCGATTCTGGATTATCAATTATTACAGTTTCGATCACAATTTTACGTTACTTTCAATATAAATTTTGTTTTGCATTACCTTTTTTCAATATTTCTATAAATCTGTTTATGCTTATATGTATAAGTAGATGATAGTATGTAAGTCTCTGTTCTGTGTGGCAACAGCAACATCAACAACAACAACAGTAGCAACAACAATTAAAACAACAACAGCAACACCATTAAATATTATAATGCAGAAGTGAGTCAAAAAATGTGTGCAACCATTTTTCCCCCTCGTTGGGATCGCGTTAAGCCTTATGTAAGTTTCAAAAGAGAAGTTTTAGATTTCATTATCAGTAGCTATAAAAGATATTTCCTAGAGGTACAAAATTAAAGTCCTTTACAAATGTTATATGTGATCTTGGATCAATTCATATTTCAACTTTTCCATCATTTTAATCTGAACAAATTTATTTGTATCTAATTTCTTTTTTTTAAACAGTTGCTTATGGGGTCTAAAAATCACCAATTGATTTAAATTCTTCAGTTAATTGTTTACCCTGACTCTGTTTGTTTGTTTACTGTGTCCAGACCATAAATACTTGAATTGCCCTTGAATCGGTACAGAAAATTAAACTTCAATGTTATTCCAATTCACAAGCCTTTAAAGCAATTGGAATAGGTACACCTTTTCTAGTTTTAAGGGAGTGGGAACAATTTGGCAGAATTCAAAACTTTTATTACTTTTTATACATTTTGCGAAATTTTAAGGCACCATAAATCGATACACAGCAAAGCTTAAAATATTCCCAAAAATACTGAAATATTTAATTAAATTTTGATTTTTCATTTTGCTTTAATTGCAGCCAACATTTTATAGAGTATATTCACTTTAGAATGTTTATAACAACACTTGTGTTGTCCCTAAATAGTAGAAGAAGAGAAGTAGAAACGGAGGCGTACAAAGTCAATTTTGTATGCTACACTCACACACACAGACAGACACATGTCCGTTCTCTTTCTCCCTCCGTTCTCCCTCACTTTCTCTTTCTAACTCTCTCTCTCCCTCTCTGTCTTTCAAGTGTGTGTAGTAAAGTGAAGCTATCTTACTGTTGGAAACTCATAAGCGTTTTCCCATACAGTCTGCCACCCGGCGTATACGTAATTTCAATTTAAAATTCCATATACATATGTATGTATGTAGATACGTGCAGTGTCTGTGTGTTCGTGTCCATGTAGCAAGTTCATTTGTGCGGTCTAACTATCAGTTGGCTTCCAACGCTTCAACTTCAAGCAGCTAGCAACTCGTCGTTTCCGGCCATGCCTTCTTCCTGCCATCCCCTAAGCTTTTATTTTTTTGTAGCTCAATTAAATTGGAATTTAATTTCGGTTTTAGGCAGGCACACACACACACACACGCACACAGTTTTGTTTGAAGTGAGTTAGAACAGAACAGAATGGAATGGGTGGGGAGGGCAGGGGTGGGGAGGGAGGGGAGAGAGAGGCAGCACACATGGCTGGTTAGATTGTTGAGCTATCGTCTGGTCGATGGCAACTTTGATGTTAATTTCATTTCTGTTGTTGTTGTTGTTGTTATTGTTGCTACGAATTTTGCGGTCAACTGTGCAGCTCGTTTTCATTTTGTGTGATTTTTAGTTGCCACAGCACTAACAGCACTCGATGTTGTCGTTGTTATTGCTATTTCGTTGTTGCTGTTATTTTGTTGCACTGCTGCGCATTTGATGCGTTGATTGAAAGCCTCACAGACAGACTAACACGTATATATGTACATATATATCCGCACATATATACAAAGACAGTGAACAACAAAATTGAAACTGAAAAAGAAAATGGAAGCCCGCAATATGTACGAGTATGTAGATATGTACGCATGCCAATCAAAATGCACACAGAAAGCTAATTTTAAACTACTTACAAACAAGCATCAGCCTGCAGCCAGCAAGCGTAGAGCAACAACTAAAAAATAAACTTATATATGATCTGCCAAAATGTATCTAAACATCGAACGAATCTAAATATGAATCTAAATCTAAATGGCCCGTCTGGGCAGTTTCAAATTAATAGCAAAACATTTGGCAAATGGAAAATAAAGCAACATACATACATATGTCTATGTCTATATATATATATATATATATATATATATATATATATTATATATATATACGAGTATATATATAAAATAACAAAATTGTAATGTGGATAAATGTTTTGCACTCAGTGCAAGCGTTTTCCACAATAAATACAATAGTTTTTTGTTTTTTTTTTTTATAACTGAGTGTAAAAGGAAAAACAACTTTTAAAATCAAACTAAAATATTGTATGGTAAGAAAATGACAAACAATGTGTGAATTAAAAATATCTCACATACTTAGAAGGTGACAATTCCAATTGCAAGCAATTGAAAAATTGTTCTTATAAGCCAAAATGAATACGTACTATAGTATACAGAATCAAAAATGTAGCCAGAAAGAAAAATGCATGCATTTAAGAGACAACTTCAAGCAACAGAAAACCAAACAAAACGACATACAATAAACAGAGGCATAAGCAATATGCAAATCAAAAACTAAACATAATTCTCAAGAGAAATTGGTGAGCTGCATTTACCAAAAAGTTGGACTGCAGTCTGGGGTATCTACACGAGTAGTAAGACGACCCAAGCAACCTCAATATCTTGCCCAGTTCTGCAACAATTTCAAAAGGAAAATAATTGAGTTATCACAAAAGTTATTCAAATTCAATTGAAGTTGATTTCTTTTCAAATTATGGTGAATGAGTTTTTGGAAATTTAAAATATACATATACGAAGAAAGCAAAGGCGCAATATTTTACTAGTCTATAAGAAAGTCCGGATTTAATGTCAATAAATGTTTATATTTGTTATCATTTCTATTTAGCGTTTGTTAGTTTCATGCTCTCGCCATTATTTCAAATTTGAAAGACAAATTCAAATTGTAATATTTGCAAAACTGTTTAATAACAATGCAATTAATTAATTAATTTCGCTCTCATATGATTTTAAATCCATCCTATTAAGTTGTAATGGAAATTGCAAAATTTATATTAAATAGTATTTTTCAAGAAATAACTTACTTTAAATAAAACTGCTGTTCTCAATAAAATTCAAGTCGGTTTTCATTCAATGTTTCGTAAAATCCATACCATTTCGTAAATTTGTGATAAATAAAATTCAATACCATTTAACAAAATAATTAAGCAAAAATATTCACAAAATCCGGACTCTAGTCATAAGTTTTTTCATTTCATTTGGAGCAATTGTTTCAAAGTTTGTGTCTGTTTTAATTATTTGAATTTTGAATTTGTATTGTAAAGCACCCCAAATAAATTTGTGTTTATATGCAAAAACAGAGTTTACTCCGTCCGTTCACACATTAATTATGACTTAATTATTATTATTTGAGTTAAGCAAACTCAGATCGAGTGCATTATTGAATCGTTCAGACTGAGTTCTGGACCTAACAACAACCACAGTCCTGCAGCATTTCTGATACCACTAACCCAAACCAAACCAAACGCATTTCATATACATACTTGGTAAACATAGGTATCTACACTAAAGAATGAACATTAACATTAATTAACTGTACAATTTACTAAAACAAAATTTACTAAACTTTATACAAACAACAAAGAATAACGAAAAGGTCGAGCGATTAGCAACAACTAAACAAAATGCATGCAAGAGAAAACCAAAACCAAACTCATAAAACAATAATATTACTATTAATATTAATGACTGTGTTCATTTTTTGGCGACTTTTGGCAGTTTGGCAGTCGCAGCTAAAACCCCAGAACTAAATCAAAAAAACAATAACGGAGAACATTTAATAATAATTTGGCATTTATAGTACATATATACTATATGAATTTATGTGTATGTATGTATGTATACTACTATATATGCATGCCTGCAGTATGTAGTATATACAGGGCGATGTACATAGCATGGTCGTTTATATATTTATTATATGTATAACAATTAATTATAGACATTTACTAATGCATAAAGCAGAGAAGACTTATAAACTAAGCGAACAAAAAACGAACAAAACCAAACTCAAAGTTGTGTAGATTTAATAATGAAAAGCAAAAAAACCAAAAAACCAAAAAAAAAGAACAACCAAAAAACAGAGAATTGAAGAAACAAAAACGCTAAGCATTTAACAGAACTTTTTAAAAGATAACGGAAATCAAGTTTGTTAATCCAAAGCAGCTGCTGCCTCATTTACACTGCCTGCAATACGAGTAAGAAGAGAGCAGGCACTCTCTCTCTCCCTCTCTCTCTTTCTCTTTCTCTGCATCACTGCTCTGTTATTGGAATTTGGTTAACAGCAGTCCAATTGAAAGGTCTCTGAACTGTAACTGACTGCTGTTACATAAGTTAACAGGCCGCCTAATGCAGTCGGTTTTAGGGCTTTGAATGCAGGCAGTCTAAAGGAGGCGCTTTTTTGAAGCTTTCGAAGCCGTGGCCCCTCTTAAGAACATTTTGCTTTGCTTCTATTTGTTGTGTTCTATTTCATTTCTAATTGCATTTTGTGTTTCTTTATTTTGTTTGTTTGTTTATTTTTTCTTCGTTTATCAAACGCTTTTGTGGCTAACCCAAAAAACAAAATCCGTGCTTGCGCTGCTTCGACGCCAACGCTTAGTGAGTGGCGGCAATACCAACAATGCCTACACGCCCAGCGCGCCGCATCCTGAAGGCGATGGCGGTGCCATGGGCGGTGGCGGCGGTGCTGGGTACGGTGGTGGCGGCGGCGCCGGTGGATATGGTGGTGGCTTTTCGGCTGGCGGCCATAGTCTCTATCCCACCCTTCCCGATTCTGGCGGCAACAACAACAATGGAGGTGGTGGTGGTGGTGCAGCTTACAATCCCTATGGTGGAGGTGCAAGTGGCGGCTATCAACCAGGTGGCTACCAACCGGGTGGCTACCAGCCCGGCGGCTATCAACCAGGCGGCTATCAACCTGCAGCCGGCGGTGCCTATCAGCCCTCTCCCGGCGGTGGTTACAGACCTGTGCCCGGCTACACTCCACCAGCTCCCGGCTATGAGAACGGTGGTGGCGGCAGCGGCGGCCAAAAGCCCAAAGACAAGGAGGGCGGCTTCTTCTCCAACTTCTTCTCAAATCCGGCGGTGAGTCAAGCGGTTTCCGGTATCATTGCAGGCCAAATTGCGAAGACATTACAAGGTGGTGGCGGTGCCAATAATGGTGGTGGCGGCGCCGGCGGTGGATACCAACCCAGTGGCGGTTATCAGCCCAGCGGTGGCTATGGCGGTGGCGGTGGCGGCAGCAGCGGTGGCAGCTCCTCTTCGGGCAGCAATATTCTCGGTGGCCTGCTCGGATCTGTTTTGTCTGGCGGTGGTGGCAGCACTGCCGGAGGCAGTGGCGGCGCGAGCAGCTTCCTTGGCAGTCTCTTGGGCGGTGGCGGCAGTGGCGGTGGTGCTGCTGCTGGCGGTCACGGTGGTGGCGGTAGTGCTCTCAGCGAAATCTTTGGCTCCAAAAACTTCGGCGGCCTCTTCAGCGAGAATCCGTCCTCCCGTGGCGGCAGTGGTGGTTCGGAGTCCTCCTCATCTGGTGGCGCAAAGAGCTATCCCACGCAGCCACCGATGAGCGGCAACTATTATGGCTAAGAGTGGCCTATATCCATAAAGCAATTCATTCCTCTTCTTGTTTTTTTTTGTAACTTTTGCTATGGCATCTAATCAAATACGAGTTTTTCAACGTGAAATTCAAAGATCAATATACACATACATATATATATATATACGATAATTATACAATATATATACCTAATTACTGCAACAAATATATAAGCCGAGCATTCAATGTAATTTGAAGAAAGCAATTAATCTGTAAATAGATGAGGCATATACGTAAGAATTGAAACACTCAGCCGAAACCTGTGTTTTTATTGGACGTGGGATGGGGTGGGGGAACTAATGGGGATCTTTCAGCTGGTCGCCAGGTAGGTATTCAAATGCTCCTTACGGTGACTCACTCGTAGTTCCCAAGCTTCCGATGCTGATAGAGTACAATTCTGATAATAATCTGCAGCAATAAGACAATCGGAAAGTGGCGTCAACTGTCAGGTGCTGCCAACCTGTTTACTTTCAAAAATGAGTCGCTTACACACACTATCAGAAAGCAATTGTCCTTTGGTAACCCTGATTCCATCGGATGAGACAGCAGAATTGCTCTTTCTATTTAATTTTTTTTTTTTGTGGGTTTTTTCTTCTGCTTTTTTACCGCTTGCAATGGACAGAACTCGACTAATAGCCCTCGTGCGTGAGCGACGGGAGCTGTGGGACTCCTTGATGCCAATTAGAGCTCGGAGGCAAATTTCCACAGCGCAATGGAAGGAGGTGGCTGGCATCACGGGCCTAAAGGTAGCCGAATGCAAGCGGCAATTCAAA